CATAATCAGACCATGATGATCAGTTGTATATCACATACAGTAGTATTGCTTTCAGGATGCAAACTTTGAGAGTAGTGCAAACTCTGTAGATATTATTCGATGAGGCACAATACTTACCTATAGCACGTAGCCTTATTCTTGAGCGCAATTTCACTGTAGTTCCATTAGTACAGTACATCCAAGGCACTGCGATTAGGACAATGAACGCGACGGGTGGTTGACGCATAGGAAAGCAGAGCACTTCCATCAGGACAACACTGCCGAGAGATGGTTCACAGACACCAGTTAATAATGATCAAAATATGACTGGATGAAGATTGGCACTAGTGATTGCTCCTCATTTCCAAATCACACTCCCTGTGAGTTGGAAATGTTATTCTCTAAAGATATAAAGTATATAGTTGGCTAATGCACAAGGTGAATCAATTTGAAGAACACAAATTTTCACAGAAAATGTGGTACATGTCCAGAAGCACGATCATTCAATTGAAATATTATCGTTCAGACACATCATAGACAAGTTAATGAGATTGCGCATGTAGTTTTAGCGTTATATTATTTGATGTGTTATTTTAGAGATACTTTTAGCAAGTCTGGTGAAGACATTATAAACTTCAAGAGATGTCCATATGTCTGATAATTGGCAGGGCCAGTTAATTCCTTGTTGATTTAGTAGTAATTTTAGCTCTAGTCGTTCACGATCAAATAGTATGCAATAGAATACATATAATAGATTTTTACACGCACATTCCTGGTGTCAGCTTTTTAAAACTTTTAGAAATCACAAGTCGAAAAAGTCGAAATGTAAGAAAAGCGGAGAGTCGTGTCTGACACGATAACAATTCAAAATGTTTTCCAGAAAACTATTCCGTAGAAAAATTTGATAGATGACAGATGACCGGCATAACTCTATTGTTATCAAGAGAGGTGTGATATACAGGGGCAACACACCCAAAAATCCAGATAATGTTTTGAAAGATTAAGACGAAAGACACCGATGCACGAATTTCCCGTACCGAAAATCACATTATGCTTCAACGTTTGAAATATTAAAGTTATGCATTTATTTTCTTTTTATAAATCAAACGTTACAAGTAACTGGCAAATAAAGTGTTTTATTACAATAATAAATCCAGGACTTTTCTATTTATAGTACTGACCTTTATTTTTATTTTTGGAATTTTGTAATAATTTTCTTAAATGCTCTTTATATTTTTTATTCCTCGTGGTGGATACCATACAGGAAAAGTATAAGGTCTGGTACCGACTGCGGGTTGGGGTTCAAGTAAAGTGGGAGAATTTCAAGCACTAAAGCGAGAAATGTAAGATAAAGAAAAATTTATTTATTAAATGAAAGTGCAAAAGCCACAAGTAATTAACAATGCTGGATCTACATAATTCCGTATAAACAATTAAGAAATATCACCCAGAAACACCGAAAATTAACTTATTAGTCAGGTAAACTTTTAATCAAATTTTTCCTCTCACGTGAGCAATTGTAATCTTTTTACATATGAATTGATCGGATTATCCTATTTGAAGAAAATTTCCCAATTTATCCTGATAATGGTCCTGGAATAATTACGTTAACAGGTGCAGGTTGAATTACAATAGCAGTTGGAAGTTGAATTACGATTTCATCAGGTACATCAACGGATTTAATGGCAGGTATAACAGTAGGTGTTTTAGTTGGTTTAGTAGTTGGATTATTGTAGCTAACAATGTTACTTCTTCTATTTAACTTTAGCACATCGTCAATGGAACTGCGGTCTTGGGCATTTCTGTTTCTACCTTCTCCTTTTCTCGACAGAGCAATTACTGGAAGAAATACAGTTCTGCTTTTATAACTTTGTAAATTACTAATTATTTTAATTTTTCTAAAAAGAAATATTCGAGAAAAAATAATGGACTGAATACGTTAAACTTGTTTTACTACGATTTAACTTTTATTCCGTTCTCTTAGATAATGAAATGTTTCTATAATAATTAAAACAAGCAAATTTTAAACTAAAATTACGTCTAACGAGAAGAATGGTTTGTTTTTTAATAACAAATAAGCCATTTTTAACACCTGCAATTGTAGTTTTCAGCCTACTCAGCCGTCGGTTCTACTTTCATGTATAATATGTAGGTCTACCGTATAAATTATTATACGATAATGATAGAACCACTTTGTAATAATATATAAAATAATATAAAACAATGAAACTCACTGATAGTGACGAATATAAACGTAAACTTATTCATTTCTCGTGTTTCTTCTTTGTAAGCGAGTTAAAAGCACCGTTTGTGACTATCCGAAACGCTATGATTTATTCACAAATGTCATCAGTCACGTGATATTTGGATGGGAAACAAACTTGCCTACGTCACAGGTGCTATTCGTCGTACAGCGAATCACGTGAAATATTCATTTATATTTTAGGTGTATTTCTGTTCTATAAATTTCTTAATTATTATATTTATACAGTACTGATTTTCATTTGGTTTATTTGCCGATAAAAATATTTAACACTGGCATAGACTAGGATTAACTGGCTAATTCTAACTTTGGGCAAAGCGAGTGACAATCTATCAATGTTGCGCTTTATCCAGCTTACAAGCAGATATGAGGGCTTCAGTCTTAACGTATATATACACCAGGTAATGGTAATTACCCTGTTCGATCTGAGTACAGTTATTTAGCAGTCAAAATGCAAACGAATTTGGTAAGGTGATGACAACGTGAATAAGTATGATACGAGACAATTCGATATGAGTAACAAATGAATGTAATAAATTCACTTAACCCAATAACTTTTCGACAGTTTTTAGCAAATTAGGAGTGTATGCCTTCGAGGATCGTTAGTTGTGATTTTAAACAATATTGTCGACTTTAAATGAATAGCTGACGGCCGAAGACACTGATGTAGAAACTTCTGGTCTGTACCGGAAGTTATATCAAGTTAACATAATAAATCTAGAATTTATTTATTTATGGTACTGATCTTTATTTATTATAACTTTTTGAATTTTGGACACAGTTTTGTTAAAATTTTCTTACATTCTCTCTGTTTATTCTCTTCCCAGTGCAGGAAACGATCCGGGAAAACGTATAGGGTCTGGTGTGATACCAGACTGAACACCGGGTACTAAACGAGGAAGAATTCCGTGAATAGGACGAGATACCGAACCAACTTTGGTACCAGGTATGAAACGGCGTTTAGAGCTAGATATAGGAACAGGTACAGGACGAATTACAGTTACAAGTGTGACATTTCTGTTTCTACCTTCTCCACTTCCCGACAAAGTGATTACTGAAAGAAATACATTTATACATTGATTACTTTGTAAACTATAATGTATAAATCTGCAATTTAAATGTCAATTAACATATGACACTAATAACAGTTATTATTGGTTGAGCGAAGAATATATCAAGCAGAGGCATTTTTTGTGCAATTTGCTGTCCCTTTTTGTAAGAGAAAGCGTACAAGTAGAATATTGCATTAACATTTACGGACATTAATTTTACGTTCAGCCGTAAATGTAAATTAATGTACTTAAATATTTAACTTATTGTATACTAGCAGATGACCCGGACAAAAAATAACAACAGCAAAGATTAAGTTTGTTAGATTATTTCGTACTTGTAACCCTTCTATCGTATTATATTATAGTATTTGATTTATATTTACGAAGGTTACCTTACGTAAGGGTTTATTACACCAAATGACCAAAATAACGAATGCCACCATACCGATGGTCCGATATAAAGAAGGGAATTTTAGGGAAGGAGGTTGAAAGTATTAATAATTCGACCAAACGTAGTCGTTGTCTGCCAGGAACAGAGGATGAAAGAGAAGAACTGAACCGGGGCGCAATAATTGCGCCACCTTTGCTTCCACAAGTATTTAAATTTCGATATAACCTTCCACGTTGGCTGGAGACGACTCCTATGTCAACGGCCAAAGAAGTACACCGTTACGACACTCATTTTATATAGATTGATTGTTTCTAGTTAAAACTCTCACCAGTAATCCAATGAATAAAGCCAGCAAACAATGGCAGTGGGTCGCGGTTCGCTCTGTACCAACAGGCGGCCCAATCACACTTTTCTTGTTTTCTTTACGATAGTAACACTAAAACAGGAGCCAGTTTTTTTATCGAAAGTCCTCTCTGGAGGCATTTCCGTTCGCAGATAGCCCACAAATTGCGTTCCCGTATCTCATCAAACCATAAACTTAGTTAGAACAGACATAAATACTTTTTCACTTAATTAAAAAACAGCAACGAGTTGTCTAACATTTCCGACAAAATTTGGTGGCGTCGTTCGTTATCGTATTACATTTTTAGAATTTTATACTTTCAATTATTATAAAATGACAAACAGCTTAATTTTGAGGGTATAGATGAACTTAATAAAAAAATGTAAACGCCAGTAACCAGTATACTCATTCTTAAGTCCGACCCTACTGAAGATACACACGATCTTCTCTATCTCCCTGCAAAATTTCGGAAATTTTCGACAAAAAGCACAAAAGTTATTAAGTTTCAAACAGGGTGAACAAACTCGTGCCCCTCACAAACTAATATCCATACAAATGGAAAAACCCCGAAGTTTTTTGCATTTCTCGCCGTTTCAAGATTCTCCGAGCCAAAATGTAAAAATTTTAAGGGTCGTGTTTTGATCGATGGCCTTTCTTTCCCTCTGTCATATATAACAGTCGGAAAAGTAATAGGAAAATATAAGTTTGTGTTTTTTGTTGCGTGCACCGCCAGGAGGAAAGAGATTTGTACGACATTCTGTTAGCGTTATTAGACTAAACGGCATATAATAGAACCACTTGGACACGATAATGCATTTCTTGTATACGAAAGATGTAAATTTAATAAGTACAACATCTAAATTCAATTATAAAATGATTGGAATACGAAATAATTGAACGAATAAACAATAGAAACAATTCGTATTATAGACCAATAATATCTGGCCGATTGTTGGAAAACCGCGTCGAAAAATGGCAGCGGAAGAATTAGATATTTTTCAGACGAAATGTCCTATTTGTCTGGATGTTTACATCGATCCGGTTTCTCTGCCACGCGGCCATCTCTACCGCAAGACGTGTATCGAGAGCGCCGGAAAAATCTGGAAAGTTTGTCCGATGTGTCAATCTCCGATACGCAGAATTACAAAGAGAGACGATCGAGTCAGAGAAATGAAAAAATTCATGGCCACACATTACGTCAATTGCCGTTATTGTGGGAAAACAACTCTCTTATCCGGACTACGTAAGCACACGACAACGTGCGAAGAGGCCGCCAAAAATTCCAACAAGAGAACCTCTGCTTGTACGAAAATCATTCGATGTGCCAAAAGAGAATCGCGCCGAACGGGCTCTTAAAGCGTCCGAAAAACGACAAGAGGCGTGGACGTTCGTTGATCTGTCCGAAGGGCGCTTTGAAAAAATGTGAATAAATCGAGATCGTCACGACGTCATTTAAAACAGACGAGAATAAAAATTATAGTCAATAATTTTGAATACGAATTTCGCTTGGTTTCGGCAAATCAAAATGATTAAAATCCTCATTATATATGATCCTTCCGGAGATTAAATTATATGCAAGTAGAAGGGAGTCGCAATAAAAGAATACATAAGCTTATTTCATTACAAATGGAATTTTCTGAGGTGTGGATTATTAAATATTTTTTTGACTTTGCGTTGCATACGGAATTCAAATTAACCTGCTAATTTATTCCTATGAATAGTAATTAGTAAAGAGGTAGGTAGATTGATAGATTCGCTTTCATACTTGGTGCGTACACACACCAGGTTGTGGGAATAGATTTATGGATATAAAAAAACCAACAGAAACGCGATTATCCCAAACTTAAGATTATATACAACAGTTTTTTAAAGCTGAACGTGTAGCATTGAACTGTACACACCACAGAGTATAACACACAGAGAAAAACTCTTCGTGTAACTGGAAACTACTGGCTTATCTGTCGATTGTATCGCCATGAATCTATATATATCTAACATTACGTACTTGTGAGGTAATACACTACGTGTTACGATAATATAATACATGTAGTAGATTTTACAAAAATAGACACTAACATAGAAACGAGCACATTGCAGATGCGAGCTTTTTAAAACTTTTGGAAATCGGGAGTCGGAAAACGTCGGAAAATAAGAAAACCGGAGGGTCATGTGCGACACGATGACAATGTTATATTGTAAAAGCCAGGAAAGTAACAAGAAAGTAAAGTGTCAAGACGATTTCAATAGTTACTGTGAAAAGCCAAGGGTGTAGAGCTGTTCACTCTAACTCTATGTCACTTACGTGGCAGACAATCGTTAGATTGGCACACTTTGTCAACGGATGACCTACTAAAATTTTTAATTAAGATCAGGAGTTCGTAAGTTTCCCCGATAGATGCTTTTTTATGACACCAGATAATCACGCATTCTCGAGGAATCCCGATTGGGAGGGTCGCAAGTAAGTGAAGTGGACGACGTCCTGGATTTTAGTCATTAATGAGACCATATTTAAATAATATAACAAAAATTTAATGAAACAAGATTAAAATAAACCAAGATTACAATATACGAAAGTTTTCTAACTCGCGTGAGAGAAAGATTACAGGGGTTCTAAAGTTATACTACCTTAACAGATTTGTAGCTATTTTGTATTTTAACGATGTCTTGCCGTTGAAAGCGTCGAGAAAAGTTCGTTGTTTATTCCGCGACTGTAGCTTCTCGATAGGATAATCGTGTATTTTACTTCTTCATCTTGAGAAATTCGACGGCTCTCGAGAAATACTGCTTCATCTTCGGAGAAAATGGTGACGGACTCTTCTATGATTACGGGCGTTGGTTTTTTGAAGACTCGTATGGAATACGTCTTCTTACATGGAGAAATTTCGATGCACTCCTTCAGAATTATGGATGTTAGCTTTTGAATAGGATCTTAGCTCTATGAAGACCTTCGAGGAACTCCTGGATGAAAGGAAGTTAACTGCTATATTCGGAGATCTCCACCAATTAGCTTGTAGGATTTTTAACACGTCAACGGGACGAGTGGGGATTTTTAGAGGGGTTGAACTTCTGTTTAATGATTAAAATTTTTAAGATAAGGGAAAAGAGAAAGGATGTTTAACTTCCGTTGGTTAGGAAGTGTGGTTTAGCGGTTTTCTTTAGTTTAAATAAAGATTTTTCTTTCAAAACTTATAAACATATTAATTTAAAATAATAATAAATCGTTTAAAATTGATCGAATAAAACCAGGGTATTCGAATTCTCACACTTATCGTATTGAAATTGTCTTTCCGTATAATACGTTAAATATTTGTCTACATTAAGGCTGAAAGTAAAATTAATGTCCGTAAACACTATTCACTATTCTACTTGTACACTTCCTCCTACAAAAATGGAATAGCTACCGGATACGGATAGCTTATGCTTGGAAGTTTATATACGGATTTTCCTACTGTACCGGAAGTGACGTGTTTCAATCCAAAAGTTTCTTCAGAAAGCTATTCCGTAGAGAAATTTGATAGATGACAGATGACCGGTACGACTCTATTGTTATCAAGATAAGTATCATGTACAGGGGCAACACATCCGAACATACATAAAGTTTTGAAACATTGAGGCGAAAAACCCCGATGTACGAATTTCCTGTACCGAAATTATATTATGCTTCAACGTTTGAAATAAAACGCATTTGTAACTTATTTTTAAATTGTGCATTTATTTTCTTTTTATAACTCAAGCGTTCAAGTAACTGGCAAAGAAAGCGTTTTATTATAATGATAAATTCACTACTTTTCTATTGATAGTACTGATCTTTATTTATTCTTATTTTTCGACTATATAACTGGATTGCGGTATGTTAGATCTTTCTATATAATGCGTCTCTGTGATCCAAAAAATAAGGTAGACGGACTCACAGCCAAATTTTCAGTTAGGAACTACACTTTTATTTTTAAAAAAATGACAAATGCATTTCAGGTTGGTACAAACATCCAACCCTTCTTCAGTGCTNTATTATACTTGTACACTTCCTCCTACAAAAATGGAACAGCAAATTGCCCAAAAAACCCTCTGCTTGATATATTTTCCGATAAACCAATAATAATTATTAGTAGTGTCGTGTGTTAATTTAAATTCGGGATTTCAGTTCATTTTAACTGTCTGTCTTTTCTTTGTTCGTCTCGAGAACGGAGATAGAAAAATGAAAATCGAGACCGGATATGGAAAGCTTGTTCTTGGAGGTTTATATACGGATTTCTCTACTGTATCGGAAGTGACGTGATTTCAATTCAAAATTTTCTTCAGAAAACTATTCCGTAGAAAAATTTGACAGATGACAGATGACGGTACGACTCTATTGTTATCAAGAGAAGTGTCATGTACAGTACAAGGGCAACACACCCGAAAATCCATACCGGAGAGAGTTTTGAAAGATTGAGGCAAAAGACCCCGATGTACGAATTTCCCTTACAGAAAATTATATTATGCTTCAACGTTTGAAATAAAACGCATTTGTAACTTATTTTTAAATTATGCATTTATTTTCTTTTTATAACACCAGCGTTCAAGTAACTGGCAAACAAAGCGTTTTATTATAATAATAAATTCACTACTTCTCTAGTGATAGTATTGATCTTTATTTATTCTTATTTTTCGAATTTTTTATTCGGTTTTGTAGTAATTTTCTTAAAATCTCTTTGGTTATTATTTCCGTTGTAGTGGACACGATACAAAAAAAGTACAGGGTGTGGTACGATACCAGACATAACACCAGATACAGGACGAGAACGATTCCGATAATAAGACGAGACACGGGACCAAATTTGGCGCCGATTACAGGTTGGGGTTTAAGTAAAGTGGGAGAATTTCCAGCACTTAAGAGAGAAATGTTAGATAAAGAAAAATTTATTTATTAAATGAAAGTGCAAAAGTTATAATTAATTAAGTAATTAACAATGTTGGGTCTACATAATTCCGTATAAACAATTAAGAAATATCATCCAGAAACACCGAAAATTAACTTATTAGTCAGGTAAACTTTTAATCAATTTTTCCCTGACAAGTGAGCGATTNCCACCTGCTGAAATCGTAATTCAACCTGCACCTTTCAACGTAATTATTCCAGGAGCTATATTGTCAAGTGGAAGAATTTCCTTCAATAGGGTAATCCGATCAATCCATATGTAAAAAGATTACAATTGCTCACGTGTCAGGGAAAATTTGATTAAAAGTTTACCTGACTAATAATTAATTTTCGGTGTTTCCGGATGATATTTCTTGATTGTTTATACGGAATTATGTAAACCCAACATTGTTAATTATTTATGGATTTTGCACTTTCATTTAATAAATAAATTATTCTTTATCTAACATTTCTCTCTTAAGTGCTGGAAATTCCCCCACTTTACTTAAACCCAAACCCGTAATCGGTACCAAATTTAATCCAATGTCTCGTCTTATTGTCGGAATTGTTCCCGTCCTGTATCTGGTGTTAAGTCTGGTATCGTACAGTACAAGACACTATACGTTTTCCTGTATCGTATCCACCACGAGGAATAAAAAATACAAAGAGAATTTAAGAAAATTATTACAAAATTCGATAAATAAGAAGAAAGGCCAGTACTATAAATAGAAAAGTCCTAGATTTATTATTGTAATAAAACGCTTTATTTGCCAGTTACTTGCAACGTTTGATTAATAAAAAGAAAATAAATGCATGATTTTAAAAAAAATGAGGAATACATTTTATTTCAAACGTTGAAGCATAATGTGATTTTCGGTAGGGGAAATTCGTGCATCGGTGTCTTTCGTCTTAATCTTTCAAAACTTTATCCGGGTTTTTGGATATGTTGTCCCTGTATATCACACCTCTCTTGATAACAATAGAGTCATGCCGGTCATCTGTCATCTATCAAAGTTTTCTACGGAATAGTTTTCTGGAAAATATTTTGAATTGTTATCGTGTCACACACGACTCTCCGCTTTTCTTACATTTCGACGTTTTCCGATATTCCTAGTGTCAGCTTTTTAAAAGTTTTAAAAAGCTGACACCAGGAACATACAGTACGTGTAAAAATCCATTATATGTATTCTATTATCGTAGCACGTAGTGTATTACGTCACATGTACTGTACGTGAAGTTACATATTAGCTAGTATTTTCCAGTTAAACGAAGAGTTTCTTCTCTGTGTATGTGTGCGTGTATAAAACAACAATAGAAACGCGATTATCCCAAACTTAAGATTATATAGAACAGTTTTTTAAAGCTGAACGTCTAGTATTTTACTGTACACACCACAGAGTATGGTGTGTTCAATAAAATACTAGACGTTCAGCTTTAAAAAACTGTTCTATATAATCTTAAGTTTGGGATAATCGCGTTTCTATTGTTGTTTTATACACGCACACATACACAGAGAAGAAACTCTTCGTTTAACTGGAAAATACTAGCTAATATGTAACTTCACGTACAGTACATGTGACGTAATACACTACGTGCTACGATAATAGAATACATATAATGGATTTTTACACGTACTGTATGTTCCTGGTGTCAGCTTTTTAAAACTTTTAAAAAGCTGACACTAGGAATATCGGAAAACGTCGAAATGTAAGAAAAGCGGAGAGTCGTGTGTGACACGATAACAATTCAAAATATTTTCCAGAAAACTATTCCGTAGAAAACTTTGATAGATGACAGATGACCGGCATGACTCTATTGTTATCAAGAGAGGTGTGATATACAGGGACAACATATCCAAAAACCCGGATAAAGTTTTGAAAGATTAAGACGAAAGACACCGATGCACGAATTTCCCCTACCGAAAATCACATTATGCTTCAACGTTTGAAATAAAATGTATTCCTCATTTTTTTTAAAATCATGCATTTATTTTCTTTTTATTAATCAAACGTTGCAAGTAACTGGCAAATAAAGCGTTTTATTACAATAATAAATCTAGGACTTTTCTATTTATAGTACTGGCCTTTCTTCTTATTTATCGAATTTTGTAATAATTTTCTTAAATTCTCTTTGTATTTTTTATTCCTCGTGGTGGATACGATACAGGAAAACGTATAGTGTCTTGTACTGTACGATACCAGACTTAACACCAGATACAGGACGGGAACAATTCCGACAATAAGACGAGACATTGGATTAAATTTGGTACCGATTACGGGTTTGGGTTTAAGTAAAGTGGGGGAATTTCCAGCACTTAAGAGAGAAATGTTAGATAAAGAATAATTTATTTATTAAATGAAAGTGCAAAATCCATAAATAATTAACAATGTTGGGTTTACATAATTCCGTATAAACAATCAAGAAATATCATCCGGAAACACCGAAAATTAATTATTAGTCAGGTAAACTTTTAACCAAATTTTCCCTGACACGTGAGCAATTGTAATCTTTTTACATATGGATTGATCGGATTACCCTATTGAAGGAAATTCTTCCACTTGACAATATAGCTCCTGGAATAATTACGTTGAAAGGTGCAGGTTGAATTACGATTTCAGCAGGTGGAAGTTGATTTAAGATTTCAACAGGTACATCAACGGATTTAATGGCAGGTATAACAGTAGGTGTTTTAGTTGGATTAGTAGTTGGATTATCATCAGTTATACGACGTAATGAACCGCTAACAATGTTACTTCTTCTATTTAACTTTAGCACATCGTAAATGGAATTGCGGTCTTGGGCATTTCTGTTTCTACCTTCTCCGCTTCTCGACAGAGCAATTACTGAAAGAAATACAGTTCTGCTTTTATAACTTTGTAAATTACTAATTATTTTAATTTTTGCAAAAAGAAATCTTCGAGAAAAAATAATGGACTTAATAGGTTTGTTTATCTTGTTTTACTACGATTTAACTTGTATTCCGTTCTCTTAGATAATGAAATGTTTCTATAATAATTGAAATAATCAAATTTTAAACTAAAATTACGTCTAACGAGAAGAATGGTTTGTTTTTAATAACAAATTCGTTATTTTTAACATCTGCAATTACAGTTTTCAGTCTACTTGGCCGTCGATACTGCTTTCACGTATAATATGTAGGCCTACTGTATAAATTACTATAGGATAATAATAGAACCAGTTTGTAATAATATATAAAATAATATAAAACAATGAAACTCACCGATAATGACGAATATAAACGTGAACTTATTCATTTCTCGTGTTTCCTCTTTGTAAGCGAGTTAAAAGCACCGTTTGCGACGATCGGAAACTCTATGGTTTATTCACAAATGTCATCAGTCACGTGACATTTGGATGGGAAACAAACTTGCCTACGTCACAGGTGCTATTCGTCGTACAGCGAATCACGTGAAATGTTCATTTATATTCCAGGTGTTTATTTCCGTTCTATAAATTTCTTAATTGTTATATTTATACAGTACTGATTTTTATTTGGTTTATTTGCCGATGAAAATATTTAACACTGGCATAGACTAGGATTAACTGGCTAATTCTAACTTTGGGCAAAGCGAGTGACAATCTACCAATGTTCCGCATTATCCAGCTTACAAGCAGATTTGAGGACTTAATGTATACAATAGACTCCCCCTATAACACGGGTTTTTATAATTCGGATTTCTATATGACGGCGAAAAAATTGCGACGGTATCCGTACAAACATGGTAAAAAAACTCCTATAATTCGGTAAAACGTCATCGGGCAGCCGAACTACTNTTAATTTTATACCTTGAATGTTATTTATTTGCATGTCAATATTTGGCTGTGAGTCCGTCTACCATATTTTTTTTGGATTACAGAGACGTATTATATAGAAAGATCTTATTTATCGAATTTGGGATTCGGTTTTGTAGTAATTTTCTAAAATTTTCTTTGGTTATTATTTCCATTTTAGTGGACACGATACAGGAAAATTATAAAGTTTGGTACGATACCAGACTTAACACCAGATACGGGACGAGAACAATTCCTACAATAAGACGAGACACGAGACCAAATTTGGCACCGACTATGGGCTGGGGTTTAAGTAAAATGTAAGAATTTCCAGCACTTAAGAGAGAAATGTCAGAGAAAGAAAATTTGATTTATTAAATGAAAGTGCAAAAGCCATAAGTAATTAACAATGTTGGATCTACATAATTCCGTATAAACAATTAAGAAATATCATCCAGAAACACCGAAAATTAACTTATTAGTCAGGTAAACTTTTAATCAAATTTTTCCTGTCACGTGAGCAATTTTTATTTTTTTACATATGAATTGATCGAATTATTCTATTGAAGGAAATTCCCCATTTTACCCTACAGGTCCTGGAATAATTATGATAACAGGTGCAGGTTGAATTACGATTTCATCAGGTGGAAGTTGATTTACGATTTCAACAGGTACATCATCGGGTTTAATGGCAGGTATAATAGAAGGTGTTTTATTTGGTTTAGTGGTTAGATTATTATCAGTTATACGACGTAATACATCGCTAACAATGTTACTTCTTTTATTCAACGTTACTAGGTCGAAAATGGAACTGCGGTCTTGAGCGTTTCTGTTTCTACCTTCTCCGCTTCTCGACAGAGCAATTACTGAAACAAATACAATTCTGTATTTAAAACTTTGTAAATTACTAATTATTTTAATTTTTGTAAAAAGAAATCTTCTAGAAAAAATAATGGACTTAATACGTTTAACTTGTTTTACTACGATTTAACTTTTATTCCGTTCTCTTAGATAATGAAATCTTTCTACGATGATTAAAACAAGCAAATTTTAAACTAAAATTACGTCTAACGAGAAGAATGGTTTGTTTTTTAATAACAAATTCGCCATTTTTAACATTTGCAATTACAGTTTTCAGTCTACTTAGCCGTCGACACTGCTTTCACGTATAATATGTAGGCCTACCGTATANCCAAAAAATATATACGTATTTTGGAAATGTTGAGTCGAATTAGTCTAGAATCGGTTAATTTTATGGAAGAAAACCTTTCAAAAAGCCGTAGTCCGTAAACTTCACACGTGTCGGGCTGTGATTGGCAAAGACTCGTACAAAATGGATTCATAAAGAACGGAACGTATTTACCGTGTTATAGGGGGGTCGACTGTATATACACCAATTAATGGTAATTACCCTGTTCAATCTAAGTACAGTTTTTTGCAGTCAAAATGCAAACGAATTTGGTAAGGTGACGTGGATATGTGGATAATGTGGATAAGTATGATACGAGACAATTCGATATGACTAACAAATGAATCTAATAAATTCACTTAACCCAATAACTTTTCGACAGTATTTAGCAAATTAAGAGTGTATGCCTTTTGTTAAATACCGAGGAACATTAGTTGTGATTTTAAACAATATTTTCGATTTTTAATCACTCATTAATTTGTTTTTTCGCCGCTTTTATATTTTGTATATTTGATATACAAACGGCATATTTTTCCTATATTTTCCGAGAATAAAGCTGTGTTTTTATAGGTTAATTCACGTATTGACGCGATGCCCACCTGTAATAAACACATCTTTATTACGTTGGCTTTTTGAAGACTCGAATCGAATACGTCTTTTTACACGGAGAAATTTCGATGCACTCCTTCAGAATTATGGATGTTAGCTTTTGAATAGGATCTTAGCTATTTGAAGACCTTCGACGAACTCATGGATCAAAGGAAATGAACTGCTATATTCGAAGATTTCCACCAATTAGCTTGTAGGATTTTTAACACGTTAACGGGACGAGTGGGGATTTTTAGAGGGGTTGAACTTCTGTTTAATGATTAAAATTTTTAAGATAAGGGAAAAGAGAAAGGATGTTTAACTTCCGTNTTATTTGCCGATGAAAATATTTAACACTGGCATAGACTGGGATTAACTGGCTAATTCTAACTTTGGGTAAAGCGAATGACAATCTACCAATGTTGCACATTATCCAGTTTACAAGCAGATTTGAGGGCTTCAGCCTTAACGTATATATAAACCAGGTAATGGCAATTACCCCTGTTCAACCTGCGTACAGTTATTTAGCACTCAAAATGCAAACGAATTTGGTAAAACGACGACAACGTGGATAAGTATGATACGAGACAATTCGATATGAGTAAGAAATGAATCTAATAAATTCACTTAACCCAATAACTTTTCGATAGTTTTTATCAAATCAAGAGTGTATACCTTTTTTATTAAATACCGAGGAACATTAGCTATGATTTTAAACAATATTTTCGATTTTTAATGACTCATTAATTTATTTCGTCGCTGCTTTTATATTTTGTATATTTTTCCTCTTTTCTCCGATAATAACGCTGTGATTTTATAGGTTAATTTACGTATTGACGCGATGACCACCTGTAACAAACACATCTTTATTACAGTTGATTTTATCGCCCTGTAATAAAACTCGATGAGAATTTTTTTATCACTGTGAGACTACATGGGGGTCGTTAGCGAAAAGTTAGCAACGTGTGATCCTGTCGAATCGTTAGATACGCTCACTGCGTGTAAGGATGGCCTTTTGCATTGGAAGTGGAAATCAAGATCGTGTGATTTCGATCAGGTCCTAATCGCGGTTTAACTCACGATCTATAAATTTTTTTTATCATTAAAAGAAGAACTAATTAAATGACGAGTGGAGAAGATGCGGATAAGTGATAAGGTAACCGTTATGCACTCGGTTGGCCACAACTAACTGAACAAGTAAACAACAAAATTTTAATAACAAAAGAGGAAAATTAATTACAAATAAAGTAACTAAATATTCTATTTAGTTTAGAGGGCGTTGCAATATAATAATCCATAATACGGGAGATAAGAGATGGTAGTTTGCAAATGACATTATATTACCTTTGATAATATAACTTGAGTTAACCCAAATCTATTTGGTGGGAGGAAGTTCCAATCCCCGGGAGTATGGCACACAAATTCATAATAACAGGATATCTGCACGGATTTTGGCGCGTATCCTCTTTTCTACTGTTTTTCTCCTCCAATGGATGTTAAGAGTTAAGATCATCTGACAGAGTATCATGATAAATCTTTTTGGTTTAAGTCATGGGAAATAAAGATCTTTTTATTTGCCAGTTACTTGTAACGCTTGATTTATCAAAACTTTTTCTGGTGTGGATGTTCAGGTGTGTTGCTCCTGTACATGACACTTCTCCCGATAACATAGAGTCACGCCGGTCATCTGTTACCTATCGAATTTTTCCACGGAATAGGTTTTGGAGAAAATGTTGAATTGGAACACGTCACTTCCGGTCCAATAGAGAAATCCGCATATAGATCTCCGGGCCTAAGCTTTCCGTATCCGGTCTCGATTTTCATCTGTGTAAGTCCGTTTTCGAGATTAACGAAGGACAGACACAGTGGGAATGTATAGATCTGCAATTTAAATGTCAATTGTCAATTAACATTTGACACTAATAACAATTACTATTGGTTGAGCGGAGAATATATCAAGCAGAGGCATTTTTTGTGCAATTTGCTGTCTCCATTTTGTAAGAGAAAGCGTAAAAGTAGAATATTGCATTAACATTTACGGACATTAATTTTACGTTCAGCCGTAAATGTAAATTAATGTACACTAGCAGAAGACCCGGACAAAAAATAACAGCAAAGCTTAAGTTTGTTAGACTATTTCGTACTTGCATAACCCTTCTATTATATTACATTATAGTATTTGACTTATCTTACGTAAGGGTACACCAAATGACCAAAACAACGAATGACACCTTACCGATGGTCCGATATAAAGAAAGGATTGTTTCGGAAGGAGGTTGAAAGTATTAATAATTCGACCAAACGTAGTCGTTGTTCTCCAGGAAGAGAGGATGTTCAACGACTATTAATATTTGAAAAGTGATCCGTGTTAGACGGATTGTGATGGTTCCGCACGTAATCCAGTTGGTAACCTCAATGTCCGAAAGACTTCGTATAACTCGTTGAAATAAAAAATCTTGTAAAACTGTGAGAATGATCGCTTTTATGTTATACCTACGGAAAAACACCTTCTCTCACTGAGAAATATTTATTAACCGTAACGATCGTTCTCGACCATTAACCGATGTTTTTTTATGCATTTTATTATTTGAAATTGTATATATATTACTGTATTTTATTCAACCAACGATCGCCTAGATCAGGGGTGGCGAACCTTTTTGAGCCAGCGTGCCATACTGTAAGCATGCTTAGTTTTAAAGATGTTTATGCGTGCCAAAGTTTTAAACTTCGAATAACGATATTNCTTCGTCAATTTCTCTCTTCTTGTAAAGTTGTAATTATTTTAA